GATCACATGACGACGATAAAAACGTGAATTTCTCACCGTCAAAATGTTATCGTCAAATATCTTCGAGAGGACACAACACAAAAAACGCAACAATACTTTTTTTTTATGTTTTGTTCTGAATCGATTGAGACTAAACCAAAATTGATTAATTCAGTCGTTATCAAAATATTGTTCAGTGAAAATTTCCCTACTCCTCAAATAGCTAAATTTTGCGGAATAGAGGCACTACCGTGCTTCTTGATAATAATCTTTAATAATAATGAGATTTAGGCTCTTTTAGTTACAAACTATGCAAAGTTTAGAAAGGTCCTAAGAGCTGGATGTTTATTGCGTAATAAATAAATAAATAAATATATGTATTTTTTTCTTATATTATATTTCACGTGTAAATTTGAAGCAAAATTTCAATTTCTAAATTCATATCGGATGGCATCCCCGTTTTCCCTCTTAATTAATTTTAAAATTAAACCAAGAAATATATAAGGCCTTACGAGCCGTTTCCAGGATGTCGAGCGGAAACTGTACGTGTATATATATATATGTTACGCTAGCTGAAAAATAAGCGTTATCAGACCATCTTCGATATATTGTTGCGCCCGCGGCGCACGATCCGAGCTACGTAACCGAGCCGCGCGATTCGCGTGACCGTCTACGGAAATGAGAGAACGCGGCTTCTTAATTAACACTTTATTATAGCTCAAATTACAATGGTAATCATAAAGAATCCAATCGGATTCATGAATACGACGTGACAGAATTCGCGACCGCGATCCTTCTTCTCTTTCAACAACCGTCGTTGCCCGGCAACCGACAGTCGCGCCGAGCGCGCGCCGTTCACGCGATACCCGCGGCACACACGCGGTGTCCGCCGCGTAACAATATGTATGAGTAATGCGAGACTAACTCCAAGTGCTTCGGTGGCCTAACAAGGAAGGCGATGGCACGGAAAGCCGGAGATTCCAGGTTTGACTCTTGGCCGAGGAGTTTTTTTCGCAATAATTTAAAAATTAGTTAGGGGGATATTCAGGGTCTTTCATATGTGAGATGCAAATCCAGCATCCCGTATGAATTTAAGAATTGAGATTTCAATTCAAAAAATACTCACTTGTAAAATTTACAAGTCGAACTTGTTACATGTGTATGCATATACATATACAGGGTGTCCCAGAATTGGTTTAACATCTCTCGTAGGCAGGTAGAAGGAATAAAACTGAGTCGAAAAGTCCTATACCATTTTGCTAGATTCGCAATAGTTACTGAGATTTTAATTAACAAAGATCCGCGAATAAGCATGCATCG